CAAAGGACTTGTATGCATGCATATAAGCATAACCAATGGACATAAGACGCTGGGGGATAGGGGAGGCTAGGGGACTGTCTAGGGCGGGGAAAAAAATGGACACATATGTAATACCCTTTGTAATAAAAAACTTAAAAAAAGAAAAAAAAAAAAGAAGTCTCATTCAGACTGCTTTCTGGAAGGAGGTGGGGCTGTAATTCTCTTGGCTGGAGAACACCGAATCCAAAATTAGCTTCAAACTCTGATTAGATTGCCTGAGTCAAGAAGTCAATCCAAAGGTGCAGAAAACCCGAGTGGAGAAAATGCTTTTCACTGCCTAAGCTCTTTACTTTCTTCCTATTTAAATAGTGGGGTTTCCCCTTCTCCTCTTCCTTCTTCTTTTTTTTTTGTAAAGATAGTATTTTATATTTTGAAATCAGGCCCTTTTGTCTGAGGCTCGAGAACATTTACAAATATCAGATTCCCTCTATAAGACACTTCTTTATGATACATTACAGCCAGCCAAGTACAGCTGAAGGTCAATAAAAAAAGCATTTGTCCAAGAGTGACATACACTGACCTGCTGACTCAGGCAATCTAATCAGGAGTTGGACTTTTTAAAAAGCAAATTCTGGATTCTTCTCTGCTTCCCATATCACAGCTTTGCTTTTTTTTTTTTTTTTTTTAATCCCAGGAAACAGTACCAAATTCTGCTTGCTCAACATAAAATATAGGAAGTCTCCTTGACCAGCACGCCCTCCCTCCCCAAACGTCCTCCTGACACATCATTCTAGTGCAAGGGGGATGATTTGGACAAAGTCGGAGACATTTTTGGTTGTCACACTCAGGGGCAGGTTGCAAATGGCATCTAGTGGGTAGAAAGCGGGAATGCCACTTAAAATTCTACAGTACATAAGACAGCTTCTCTTTCCTCCTCCAGCCCCCAACAAGGAATTATCCAGCGCAATGTCAATAGTGCCACTGTTGAGAAATTCACATCTAGTATAAGAATAAAGAAGCCCACTGTCATTGAAATTAATTATTCATAATCGCTGTAATGTTTTCATTCATCTGGCCCTTTGAATAAATGACTTTTACCTTTTACTTCAAACACTGCAAGCATTCACTCAACATACATTTTGCATATCCAAATTAAGCTATCCTTTCCTGTTTTGGGTTGTTTTTTTTTACACTATGAGAAAGGGTAGACTCATCCAAAAGCATCTTGGGTGTTTTGGCTTGGATGGTGCCTGAAGAGCGATTTTGAAGAGACATTAAAATATTTCCAAAATGTATAATAAAAGTTCCATTTCAAGAGGGCAGTTTTGAAGCAGTTTTAAAAGAGCATAGACTTACAGATGCAGAGAACCGACTGATGGTTGCCAGAGGGGAGGAGAGGTAGGGGCCTGGGTGAGAAAGATGCAGGGAGTAAGTAGTACAAACTGGCAGTTACAGAATAGTCCCGGGGATGTCAAGTACAGCACAGGGAATACCGTCAGTAATACTGTAATAATGATATATTGTGCCAGGTGGGTGCTGGAAATATCAGGGGGAACACTTTGTAAAGTATACGATTGCCTAACCACTATGCGGTGCACCTGAAACTAATACAAAATAATATTGAATGTCAACAGTAATTGAAAAACTAAAATTTAAAAAAAGATAGCAGTTTTAACCCAAGATTTTAACTCTCTTGCTTTGAAATTGCCATGGATAGAACTCAACAAGGCTCAAAACAAGGACAACGTTGATATGAACAGTGACAACAGGAGGCTACTATTGTCTATCTGAACACCTGAGGGCAGTCTGGTGGAGATAAACTGAGATGGACGGGAATATCAACTGGTTACAGTCAACACAGATAAGCAAGTGGGAAGGGTCGCCCTTGCAGAGTCCTGATCTAGGCAGGGTCAGGGACAGGCCGCTTGGGATAGTTCAAAGGTCCTTGGCAATTGCATCAGTGCCCTGTTCAGGTTTTAATCCCACCCCTTTCTTGTCATGATCGACTCTATTAGTCATTGTAATGTTAGCTGCCTGTTGTAACAACCCCCCGGTCTCAATAATGTCAGTAGTTCAACGAGTGTCTTGCAGTGGTTCATGTTGGTTTTGTTTTGGAGTGTGTATGTGTGGATGTGTGTATTTCATGTCTCTGTCCTATGCAGGCCAGCTGGCTCTTCTAGGCCGCTGACCTCCGCATGGTGACTCAGGGGCTTGAGTACTTTCCATTGTGGTCTCTGCATCTCAGAGTCCCTTATTTCTGACCCATATATGAGAAAGAGAAAAAACTGACCATCCTACGTCCCAAGCTTCAAGTCTTCCAATCTGAAGGAAGAAGGGGGCATGGGAGGCTCTAGTTTCCCTGGAATTTGCATTAGCCCAAAGCGACCTCTGATTGTGTGCAAGAATGATTCTATGTAGCAAGGTAAAGAAATAACAATGGGCCATGCCTATTGCTTCCAAGCTACAGTGGGGCCTTGACTTATGAGTTTAATTCGTTCCGTGATGGAGCCTGTAGCTCAAATTACTCGTATGTCAAATCAATTTTCACCATTACAATGAATTGAAATGCCATTAATCAGTGTGGCATTCACTGTGAAGTTCGCTGTGCCAACTAGCAGTGGGGTATCTGAAGCTGGCTCCTAACCCAAATTTTAGCTCGCAACTCAAAGCAAAAAATCGGCCGAGAGATGGCTCATATCTCAAAAAACTCGTTAGTCGGGACACTCGTAAGTCAAGGCCCCACTGTACTATGAAACAGGCACTGGGCCAGA